CCAAACAGCGAGAGCACCGCAGCTTCGTGTCGAAACTCTTGCACGATCTGGTCTTGGTTGTCGCCAAACTCGCTCGGCCGGAGCGTCTTGACCACGACCTAGACAAGACGACGACGTCAAGTGAGATCTCAGATTCGGATTGGAGACAGCGTACGTCCTGGCCGCGGTACCGAGCGCGGTACGCGTCGCCAAAGTTGCCTCGACCGACAAGGTTCTTCATCTCGAGCTCGTCGTACGCAATCTCTTCGTATGTCTCGGGCAACATCTCCAAGCTCGACGCTGTCACTTCGACCGGTCCCGCCTCGTCATCGTCTTGCTTCTCCTTGACGGGCTTGGACGACGCAAACACATACGACCGCAGACGCATGACTTGCGCGCCCAGCACGATCGATGCCGCAAAGAGCACTTGTCCGTCGACAATCGCTTGGCCTTGGACATTGTAGGAGACGTGGGTGACGTGGCCGTCCCACTCCAACGGCTTGGTCGCGGCGTCCAGCAGTCGAAAGCCTTCTGGCACGGACAGCGTCACGTGCACGCGAGCGCCGCGGCGGACGTGCATGAGCACCTCGCGCGAGAGCTGCTTGGCGCCATCGTCGTTGAGAGTCGTCGCTTCTTCGCGCATCTCGTCGCGTTGGTGGACGAGGAAGGCCCAGATGGAGAAGGTAAAGACACTGGTGCGGACAACCGGCGGGCAAAAGGCCGAAAAGTGCACCGGGTCGATCGTGCTCAAGGACCGCGCAGAGATGGTAGAGTCGTCGATGGCGCGCGAGACGCGGGGCAGCTGGAACGACTGCGACTGGCGGTTCGTCGGCGAGAGCTTATCGTAGTTGACTTGAGTGGTGGCAGCTCCACGAGTTGATGCGCTGCCTTGTGGTAGATTGACGCCAGGAAAGGCACCGGCTGCCGGTGGAGCCTGGTACGACCCGTCAAATGCGTCGTACGCCCGGTCGACGGCTTGAATCGGCTTCTTGACGAAGCAGAGACGTTGCAGTACCATGTCCGATGTGCTCACCTCGTCATTGTCGCTGAGTTTGCGGTTGGGACGGGGCATCTCTGCCGTAGCTTCGTTTGATGTGCGTCGCCGGCGCAGACCAAATGCTGGGGACGCCGAGGCCCTCGTTTGTTTTGATGGCGGCGATTCGAGAAGCGGGAGAGGCGTCAGGGGCGGTTCGGGGCCGTGCTGCGGCACGGGGATGCAGTATGTGCTCATCGGGTAGGCGACTGTCGTGATACCGAGCGTGTCTTCGCCGCAGGGCGCCGTCGGACGCAGCCGCAACGGGGCGTCCTCGCATCCGTTCACATCCACGAGGCTCTGGTACGTGGCGAGCGACGGACGAAAGATGGGTACAATGCAGATCTCGCACATACGCACCGAGCACCACGCAACAAGGCGGAGATGCAGAAGCACCGGTAGCACAAGCGCGATCGACCACTCTGCGTAGTGACAGTCGCGCGCCACGGCCACATACGCGCGCGTGGCCGTGTCAAATGCATAGTCATAGGGTTGGCAGGTCGAGTACGGCAGCTGGATCAAGTACAGTGTTAGGGCGGCGATGCCAAACTCGAACGACTTCCAAAAAAGAAGTACGCAAAGACGCGGCCAACGTGCGCCTGCAGGTCCACGGGCAGCGTCGGTTCGACGTAGAGCTTGACCGCGTATACGTTGCGGACGCGCACGTCCCAGCGACAGAGCCACTCGAGGTACCCGGAGCAGACGGTCTCGCGCACAAAGTCGCGAAAGAAGGTCCGCGACGGCTGGCACGGCCACAAGAGTAGCTGCAGGAGCAGCAGTATGACGAGCCAGAACAGCCAAAGTCCAAGCGCGATCGTGTGGAGAAGGATGAGCGCCATGTACGAGAAGACGACGTAGAGCACGAGTCGCCGATTCGACCGGTCCGTCCCGAGCACCCAGACACCGACCCGCGCCGTCATGGCCATCTTGAATGTGAGTGTAAACGGCAAGGTGGATGGACGTTTCTCAGTTGTGTCTCAATCGAGACATGCAATATCGACACTGTCCCCTACGATTCTGTCGACTACGGTATGCTACGATCCAGTTGCTAGTACAATATGTGCTGCACGCCATGCTCATGGAGCTGCACAATTGATCGATTGAGAGCGCAAAAGAGCTCGTTGCGCCGCGCCCAAGGACCTTGACTCGTCGGAACTCGGTGGTTTTCAGTTGCCTTCCACACCTCACGCAAACGCAGTCCCGTCATTCTTCGTGTGGCATCGTACCTCCACATTTAGTTGGACCGGTAGCATCACGCTGAAACGAGTCGAGTACATCTGGACGACGCATGACGTCACGTCGGTTGGTCTGCTGGAAGGTGGGACTGCCACGTCCACCATGGTTTCTTTCTCGATTCTCGATGCCAAAGGCTTGTCTTTTGCACCTACGCGGATCCAAAGCTTCATTCGAGGCCGGGACAAACTCTCTGTCTTGGCGACCGACGCTGGCCTCCAGTTGACCGACATCGGTTCGTCGGACGTGGTCTTACATTGGGCGGACACATTAGTACAAACAAGGCCTTCAACTTTTGGCATTGGTACAAACAACCGACGTTGTCAGCAGCCACGGAGCGTTGGGATGATGTACCAGTAAGTGCTCGCGAGCGAGCGGGGCAGCTTGCTTACAACGCTGACCAAGAGACTGGTCGACACAGTGAACGACTACTCTATTCACCCTCAGACAAAGGGCAAGGGCTATTCGAGCCCACGCAAGCTACACCTGGACCTACACAGGCCAATAAAATCCTCTTATTTACCTTGAGGTCAGCTGAGCCAGTCAAGAAAAAATATAATGCCCTTCGAACATGGACAGCGCGTCCCTATCAACACACCCAGCGTCTTGCGTAAACCCACGTGGCCTGCAACACACGACTCCCAAAATTGTCAGGTCAAATATTGATACATTGAAAGTTACCCGGCGTCGATGGCTACGGCAACTCGAGTGCCATGAGGACCTGCGCCATGCTCGGCCGCTTGGACGGGTCGTCGCGGAAGCACTGCGTCACAAGGTCTTGTAGATGCAGAGGAATCGCCGTTGACAATGCCAAGCGGTCGCCTGACAAGACGCGCGCCGCCGCCTCGGCCCCGCTCAGACCTGCAAACGGACCCACGCCGTGGTACGTCTCCCAGATCAGGACGCCGAACGAGTAGACGTCCGACTGGTACGAAAACGCATGCGGCGGCGTCAGCGACTCGGGCGCCATGTACTTGAGCGGCCCCGTCCCGTGCGCAAAGTA